TTTTTTTTTTTTGTGCGTAATTTTTTGCTGCTTACATATGAAACGATTCTCTAACTAGATTTAGGAAGCAAAAATTGCAATTCTTTACAAGTGGTAAGTTGCCCAACTATGTTGTTGATGCCTATGTTACTGTTTTTGACAGCAGCATCTTTTCTGTTTCATAAATGTTGTAAGATATTTGAGTCTATTAAAAATAAAGTAGAGCAGAGACTTCTAATTTGGAAACACTGGTTGATTGTGTTCATTAGCGCTACGGTACACTTATTCTCCAGCTTTTTCTTTTTTCGCCTTTAAATTTTTAAAGTAAGTGGTTAGAAAAAACAAAACTAATTTCTCGTTCTTTTCTTGCTCTTTATTTCTGAAATCAGTCTAGTTATTTTTGACTGTAACCTTTGATTTTAATAAAATATACTGTTGGGAAAGTTTAAATGAAGTCTAGAGATATGTCAATATCTGCGTTTATTTTGTTTTCAGCTAATTGTTTCTCTTTTTAAACAGGTAACAGCACTGTTGTTGGTTAACATTTTGCAGTTATTAAGCAAGAGCAAATATTGTTTATTGAAAAGGATTTCCAACAGTGACTATTATTTTCATTTTTTTCACATCATAGTCTGTCTTTATGATGTAGTTTAAGAGAGGAAAAAAAGCAACAGGTATTGAATAAGAGGAAAAAAATAATGACAAATAAAATATAGAAAAAAAAAATTGTTTTCGTTTATATTATTATTTTTTTTATTTTTTATTATTTTTTTTATTTATTTACTTTTTTTTTTTTGAGAAAACTAGCCTAATTGCTTTTTGTAGCTGAAAAAAATAGCAAAAACAACGATTTGAAGCAGATTATAGGTTAATGATGTTGCTTTGATCTGCAACAATATGATAATTGCTGCGTTCTGCAGTAACAGTCATATGTGTAAATCAGACAAAACCTTAGTGTATCTTTCTGACACGATAAATCTGGTAAACAGCGCTAAATGAAGAAACGAAGCAGATGGCTGAAAGTTATCGGATTTCAGAACAAATAAGGAATTTTTTTCAATTTCTTAAACGATTTGAAAAAACTTCTTCTACAAGAATCTTCTATCAACAGTAATTAATGAAAAATTGATAGGTTTCTGTATGAAAACCTAACTATAAGTGTATAATTTCAAACAGATTAAACAGATAATTATCAAACAAAAAAATTTATTGGTATAGCAGATTAAGAAAAATAAAACTAATCTAAATTAGAAGTTTTTACTTTCTTTTTCTTACTTTTTTTTATTTTAGATTAATTAACTAATCCTTGTTTTCTTCTCTTATTTTTTTCTTCTAATTTTTTAACATTAAAAATTCAGTGACCGAGGTAATAATCAAAGCAAAAAAACTTATTTTCTTTCAGTGAATCGAACAAATTTCTTCGGATGCCTGATGATCTTCACGATATAGCACGCTACCTCAATGATATGAGATTATGTTTTATTGCTTTAACACTAACCGGGTATATTCTTATCGCATTATATTGTGTCATTTATTGTGTCCGAAGAAATCGACGGTTAACAAATGGTGTAAACGGTAATGCCTCAAGACGAGGCAGATGGGATTATCAGGTAAGAAACTAACTACTGTTTTCTTGTAAAAAGTACCTAAGACTGACGTAATAGGCTCGTTACTCTATTGTGCGATCATTCTAAAGTTGACGAGTAATGTCTACAAATTTTACGGAATGTTGTTCAAAACTATGAATTTTGAGTGTAATTATCTTTCAGTTTTTTGATTTTTTCTTGTCCTTGTGTCATACAGTTTTTGAAGATAAAAAAAAATTATTTTTCTCTTGTTGTCTTAACAAAATAAGAAGTGAATTTTTTAAACCACAATTAAAAAGTTTTGACAAATAGTAACCACTGCTGCTCGTGAACTGCGAATTTCTTTTATAATGCCTGTGTTATTTTATTCGCAAATCATGTTTAAATACATCTATTCTATTGCTGATCAACAGATCGGTGGACTATGACAGGAGAAATTTTTAAAGAAATGAACAGTTGTCAATTGTATGCAAGAATTTGTTCTTCTTCTATAACAAACTAAAATTCATGCAGTTATTTGTCGGTTAATTATGAACCTGTTACAGGCGAGTTTGCAAGCAGATAATCGTGAATTTCCACCTCATGCGCAAACTGATGATTTAGTATCGGTTCGGAGCGATGGTCAAGGTATTACCGGTGCCCATTTGGGTTAGTTTTTTTTAGCAGCACTTAATATTTTCGTTTTTTTCTTTTTCGCAGTTTTTAATTGTCATTTTTAAACTATTACGTGATTGCAACAGCTGTAAATGAGGTAGAAGAGAATCAACGGAAGAGGTTAATTGTGGGAAACAAAAAAGAAGATTTATTTATATATTGTGTTTGAAAAATTAACTTATAGTGGAACAAGAAAACGGTAGATTATCAAGCAGTTTAAAAGACTGTAGTGTGAAAATGTACATTCTTTGACGTCTTCCTATTTTACTTTTATTTTCACAACAGAAACACCGAAGTGACACTTCACCTCGCTGCATTTTGAATAATACATTTGAACATTTTGATCTTTTTGAAACAGGATCTTGGATTTTTGCTTTGATTAACGAGAGGGTTTTTTAGATGATGGTAGTGATAAAACTATAATTATTGTGTTTTTAGAAAAGGAAAGGAGAAGGAATGAGTAACAAAAAAGTTATGGGATATTCTAAACATTTACGAATATATATATTTGTAGCTTTTGAATAAAGTAGCTTTTAAAATAATTTTTTTGCTGTTATAACTAAAAAATGACTTAAGTGCTGGCTTATTCCCGATCTTGAATTATTTGAATTCTTTTGATGAGCGAAAGCAGCGGAAATAACTGTTGAGGAAATAAAAAAAGGGCTATTGTAATCAGTTGTCTAAAATAAAGTAGAAAAAGTTTTTAGCAACTTTTTCTTAACCTTTTTGGCAGTTGGAAACAACATTTGTTAATTGCTTAGTGGAACTTCTAAATACTGTTGCTCGTTTATACGTCTGCAGTTTTTTGCTTTTTCTTTTTTATGCAATATTTAAAAATGCGAAAAAAAATTTTTAAGTACACTTAGGAAACGGAAAAACAAGTAAACTGATCTATAAACTAACAAACAATTGAACAGCTGATAAGATCACAAATTTTGGTAAAAAACTAATGATTAATTGGTAAAAATTTTGTAATAAATTTATCTGGAAACAACTTTCTGACAAGTACTTAACCATTGTTATTGCTGCTGCTGTTGTCAGTGCAAAAAGAAGAGTTGAAGAATTTGCAGAATATCTGGATTTTGGCTGACTCTTTGAACTTTGTTAAACAAAAATAACAGAAAAAATAATTAGGTAAATGAATGGATAAATAAAAAAATGGAAAAAAATTGTACCTTTCAAGATCGCTGGAAATTTTTTCCTTTTTTCGTTTCTTACTGATTTAGCAACTTTATTAATTTTTTCGCAACTGTGGAACAAAGTTTAGTAGAATCAGAAACACAGGTAGGCATTTCAGCGCGACGTCATCCTCATCTCCTAATTTTTGTTCTTTAGGTAATAGAGTAAAAATGTAATTGTCATCGTTACTATTATTATTATTATTATTATTATTATTATTGCTTTTATTATTGTTGTCATTATTATGCTACTATTATTACTATTATCTTCATTATTATTTTATTATTGCTGTTGTTACTTCTATACATCTGGACGAAGCAAATGGTTTTATGTTTAGAACTAAGTGAAATAAGATGATTAAGTGTTGTCGTTGAAACCAATTACGACAGTTCTGTTTGACTACTTTTCAAAATCATATATAGACAAGATCTAAGCTTATCTTTTCTTCCTCATGTGATATTATTTGCCTAAACAACAGTTATTCTTTACACCGAAGATGGACGGTAACAAAAGAAGAAAAAAGTAAGAATAAAAAGTCACCTCTTGAGTTATGCCTTTTTTACCATAAAAGGACCTTTGGAAACTTTAAAGTAAAAATATTAGTTGTTTTTCCGTACAGGAGTAGGAAAGAACTGTTCCCTCTGTCTTTCTTTTCTTTCCTTGCTCGTTCAATTTACAAATCTGAATTGACTATCTGTTTTTAATTTTATCAGCAATTGCCAGGTAGTTTCTGTCGTAGTTTTTGCCGTATAGCGAAAAACTGTTAACAGAGAATCATTATTTTTTTGTTGATTTTCCTTTGTTACTTAATTTTCTTAGCCATTTTCAATGTTCTTAAAACAACAAAGGGAAGAAAAATAATTAAGCTTAGAACAATTTCAACTACTTTCTAATCTTTATCACAGCACTATGACTACGCAGTAATAATGGAGGACTGCTAAATCGCAAATCACTTTTTTGCTTTCTAATACATTCAGTTATGATTTAATTTAAAAGATTATGAGTATTTTTTTACAGGTCGCAATCACCACCGAAATCCACCTTTATTTATGCGGCATGGCATGAATCATGCTCAACAAACAGCAAGGTTTGCTATGTGTTCATTGCTCTTTAAACTCTTTTTTGACGACTACCGTTTTCTTTTATAAATTTGTAACTTTATTTGCTTTTGCTCAAATCACTCACCGGACGCTTTTAATCAGAGTAGACTTATCATCAAACTATTCGAAATAGACTTGGTTGCTTAATGGCTGAGCAATTTTTTAGCTTCTTTTAGTGCTTTTACAGATGCATAAACGTATTGTCAAATTAAAAAAAGAATTAAAGAACAAGACTTAAAAAAATAAAAGTGGACAATACGAAATAGTTATAAAAATATTTTGTTTTTTCTCGTTATAAATTAAGTCGATTAAGGTCAGTTAAGAGAAATTTTGATGAAAATACTGACTTATCTGGTTTTATTAGTCTAAATTTATATCAAAAACAGCGTCTTAAAATTTTTTGTTTTTTACCTCATATAGCTTCATTAAGAAATAATAAAACGATATTCACTAGTGTTGAAAAAATAATTGCGTAGTATAACTTTGTCGAACATAGCAGTATTTGAAAATTATTTCAATGTGAGCTATATCGCACGGTATGGTTGATGAAGAGCAAAGATTTTGTCTTAGAACAGTAATTTGAGATCAAACTATCTGTTTTACTAAACAAATTTTTGTTGCTTTTTTATCACTGCGAAGATGATTGCTTATTCAGGTTGATGCCAGATCAAGACGGTGGTGTGATAAAACACCAGATACCGCATATAACAACAGATCCACCGAGTAGTGACGAGGCAACACCACCGGTCAAAGTTCCGGAACTAGTTAAGGGTTCGATTGAAATGTAATCTGAAAACAAAGATTATATTCATGTATAATGTATAATTCTTTCTTTATTTATTTTTTTCTCAAACTTATTGTTTTTTCTATATTTTGAATTTCAGTAAGCTTATTGTCGTTATTATTTTTACGATTACTATCAGCATTAATATCAATATTAGTGAAAAAAAAAAACAAATAAACAGCTAAACAGTATTAAAAGACGACTAGATTTTTTTGTTTTATTCTGTTTATTAACCTGTTTTTTTTTGATGTGAGCTACAGTATACGAGCCTTAAGAAAGAACAGACTTATTTTGTTGCTGTTTAGTTAAAAATCCAGTTGTTTTAATATTTTCTTTGCCTTTTTTTCGTTCGACTGAAAAAAGGAAAGGAAGAAGGGATAGTTGTGTACGAAGAAGAGTACAGAACTTTGGAGTATTTTTTTATACCTGTTTTATTCAGTTGTTATTAGTGGTATCTTTATCGTTTTTTTTACTTTTTTTTGGTATGCTACCAAAGCATCTTCTTCTCATCATACATTCTGCTCAAGAAGCATATTTAGCTTCCATTAAGTGTTTTGTTTTTCTGTTTTTTAGGTTTTCTTCTCGAAATTACCAAGA